AACCTAGTAGGACATCCACTTCTGGGCCTTACCTCCCTTGAGCCCTACAACCAAGGGAAACCCTAGGTTCGAATCTGCTTTGTTCTCTTACAACCCTAGTTTTTTTAGCAACCCAGAAAAGAAGAAAGAAGATGGAAAGAACAGCAAGAGAAGAGAGGGTAGAAGCTAGTGCGCCGGCTGAAACCAATGAGAAGCTAGTGCTTTGATACCATGTGAGCTTGAGAGCTGTACACGAAGTAGAGGAGAGGGGAAGAACACCACTGGTATGCTGTGAATGTCGAACTAAACTGCCCAGTCGACCATGCTATTATTTATATTTGAATGTAGTACAATGATACAAGTAATTAYTRGAATGCCCMTGATTAKTGATGGGAYACYCAGTTAACTTAAAACATTAAACAGGCTTAGGCCCATTAACACAGGCCCAGTTATAGGATAACTTAAACTTAAGTATGGGCTAATAAGAACTCTTATCAGCCGAACACTCGTACAAAGAGACTTCATTCTAACATTCTAACACACTCATCAAATCAATGACAATCTGGGAGTCTGTTTATTATTATGTTATTTTTCTAATTTTCTGGTTATCCAATTTTTCATGGCCTTTTCTTCTCACTAACCTTATTACCCTAAAAAGAATTGAAAGTGTACATTCTAACATCCAGTTAATAAAATATAATTAGACCTTGAAATTTGAAAGAAAGTGTATGTTTCATATATTGTTTTCCACTTTTGCAGTTCTGGTATTATGGTCAAAACCTAGAAAGAATACATGGCAGCCTAGACCATTTAACTCTGTTCAAGATTGGCAATGTAAGTTGGCCTGTACATGAGAGGGTCCCATTTGGTATAATCTAATTATCCTTTTCTAAAATCACTTTTCACATTATTGATAGTTTTCTGACAGAGATATAACTTTCTATCTACATGTTATTTTGCAACAACTGGGACCAGTTAGAATTTAAAATTGCTACCCATGATCTTCTAAATCATTTCCATTATTAATTGTTTTATTTAATTCTAGAGTATATATTTACAAAAAATTATTGATCACTCTTCTCCATCAGTAACGATGAGTCCAAAGAGATTAGAGAGAAATATATGTTTTCTAAGTTACTGTTATTTGCATTTCTGAATATAATATTTATCTTTGTCATGCAACACACAGAGTACTTATCAAGCTCATTAATCAATCAAACTCATTGCTAGAAGCAACTCATGCTATAGAGTTTTTAAGTATGAGGGAAAATACATGCATGGGGGAACTGGAACTGCGCATTAGCTAGGAATTTACCTCCATTAAGAGAAAAGCCCCGCAATGAAAAAGCAATCTGAAAACTTCGGATTAGAGCATCATGAATGCAGTTCTGCAAGACAACCAGAGAAGGAATGATAGCAGTGGCAGCTTGTCAAAATGTAGCCACATAATGTAACTCTGTGTAATTGAAGATAGTAAACAGCAGGCCTTCAATTCAGTATTGGTAGTGAAAACTCAAAGTATGAATGCTTGAAGACATGAATTTAGAAGAAGGGACGACAAATTATAACAAAGAAAAACTATTTATAAAATAAAAATGTGAAACACATCTAAACCATTGTTTTGCATTAATAATGATATCTAAATTGTTAATTGCCAATAATAATAAGGATGTGATATTTGACATAGAAATAAAGTAAAAAAAGGATGAGAAATATCTATAAAATATTTGCCAATAAGGACTTCATAACCACATATAGAAAATATGAAGAAGAAAGAGTAGCAGATTGACAGTGAACTTCTCAGCAAGTGCTTGATAGGATGACCTAAAACAATGGGAGAAATATTTGCAAACAAACTCCACTTTAAAAAACAAACCACTTAGCTACTTCTCTCTCTCTCTCTCTCTGGCTTTTCTTCTCTTATGTTTTGCATATTGTTATTTTTTCAATTCTTCATCATCCCCAATTAAGTGTGCATTGTTGTCCCATGAAATATTTTAAAGATCAAGTGGGATTTAATAGATATGGAAAAAAACCACATGAAAAAATCCAAGTACTTTTTTTTTCTGAATAAAAAACACTGGTTGAATCCAGAAAGAAACACATGCACACTCACACGGTATCACACCAGCAGAAAGACCAATATTACCTTGCCTCGAGAAAACAACAACACCAAACAGTAAGTATGAGCAATCGCCTCGTAGTTTTCAGGCATGTTCTCAGGAGAGAGAGACTGTGCCCAGAGTGATGAAAGCAGGAGAGTAATCTGACGACTGCTTAACCTAAGGTACATTGGGTCCTGAGGTTCAGTAAATATGAGAGCGTCATGCCAGGTGATGGTGAAGAAGTAAGAACTTGCATTCAAAGAGAATTAGGAACCTTTACGACGTACCCCTTCCTTATTTGGAGTGTTCATGCATTCCTCATCTGATGTTGAAGGGGAACCCCTAGCACTGTAAACTCGAGTGTAAGAGGACTTCAATCTACTCAGGAGTCCTTCGCTGTTAGTTCTTAATTTTCCAACATCAATATCTTGGCAACCATTTTCTTGGGAGGTACTTTTCTCCTTTATTAGCTTCTCAAAAAGAGCAGCTGAAGAAGAAAATGCAGAAACAGTTCTTGATAATGTTCTTTGGAAACCATAAACCTTTGATGTGCCAGGAATAGCTGAGCAAGGATGGGGGCAAACAGAGGACGGCACAAGAACAACAGAAAAGATGCGGTGAGCTCCCACCCGTGTTTCCTGGTCTGGATGGACCATAGCTAAGAGTAATTGATGAAATAATGCCTCAGGGAAAGCCTACACATGAAAGAAAATTCAGGTGCAAGTTCAGCAGTAAAACAAGAAAGCACAATAAAATGGTGTTGTTATTGTTCCATGCCTTGTTTTGATAGGAAATATTTGGCAGTGATGCTACCATTTGAGCAGAACGGTAAACAACAGATATTGTACTTCTTGCTGTAGTAGTAAATGTTGAGATATTCTCCATCATGACAGCCATCACGTCAAGAACAGGTCCTGCATCTCCAACCTGTTTAGAAATGGCAGCCCAATTTGCATCATCAGAATTGAGACACATCTTAAAGGGGTCCAAGTACAATGTACAATTGATATTTCAAAACAATAACCTTATTTAATAATTGCACAAGACACTCGTCTACTGCTTCACGAAACTTCTTGTTCCATTTAATCATTTCAACTCCCAGGTTTGAGTCTTCAAGTGAATAGTGTATGCTCTTCCGTAAATGCCTCATAATGTCAGTGACTGCACCAATTATTGCTATAGAAGCCTGAACCTTTGAGTGTTGGGCAAGAATGGTGATAATCTCAACAATGTTTAGCTGCATGTCAGGTTGTTTAATGACATTCTTGTGATCAAGATGTTTAACTAAGATGGACAACAGCAAGTGTGTGTTTTGCCCTGCAATTTACAGAAAGATAAGAAAGAACCAGGTCAGGATGGATGAAAGGTTAAATGAAACACAAAGACAAGTGGCAGAAAATAAAAATCCTGAGAGCATATAATCAGAACCAGTAAATGATAAGTGAACATACCAAAGTCTTCCATTAATAACTGCATGTCCATCAAGACAAAGAGAGCAAGCCCATGTTCAGGAGACCAGAGATTGCCACTATCAAAGTAGCGAAACAAAGATTCTAAAACACGTCGGACAGTTGTTGCCTCCTTTGCTAGCTTGGCCATGTTATGCAGGCAAACCCTTGACCAGAATTGGGGGTTCTTGGCATCTTCCCTGTTGAAAGATGACAAATTATATTTGGAAAGGTATGATTCATCAATATCATGAAAAAAAAGGTAAATGTCATTATAAGATCATGGGCCATGAAAAATTACACAGTCACATTCAGTTCGCCTTTCTCATTGATAATCTTCTTCCAAGAAGGAATCTTTGTCATGGCATCTGCAGGAGAAACATGACCCTCAACTTTAAGTACTTCTTGCACCCAACGGTTCTTGGTCTCCTGCCTGTCATGTTCAAGACTTGCCAAGTCTTTCTTAGGATCACCATAATTATCTAAGACTACTGAAACAACCTATTGAAAGGAACAAAATTGTTGATGAATAAAACCACCATAAGTCCTTTGTATGTAAAGAACATAAACACACATACATATAAATAGATGGAAATGAAATAGTTGATATGTAATATAAATAGAATTCATTGATAAAAAAATATGTAAAATAAAGAGAAAATAACAAAATTAACTTTTCTTGAGAGTTTGGGTTATTGTGGTGACAAGATATAGAACTCAAGTCTTAAATTATGTTTCTCCATTTTATGCCCATTCCAATGACCTCAATGAAATTGAATGGTGGAAATTGCGCTATTTTGGCTAAATATGTTAAAGTTTTCTAGCAAGAAAAGGCAAGGTAAAGTAATTGACAAATGGAAAACCAGAATTAGGATGCTTCCTTTATTCTAAGTGGGTGCAATGAGATGCAGAATAAAGTGTGGCTATGGAATTCTGTGGAGTCTTAAGATCAGTAGCAACCTGAGTTTTCTAGATACATCTAGGCAGATTTGGGAACACGTAAAGAGAGCATACTTAGGAGGAAGTCATGGGACTGTGTGAAGACCTTAACATTTATCAACAAATCACCTCAACCATCAAAATTATGCAACAACAAAAGAAAGATTTCTATGTAGCAAAGTTTATTGTCTAGTATTAAGTCAGAATATGAACCTATTTGGTTGCAAATCTTAGGTAATCCTGAACTACTATCATGGAAGTTTTCTCATAACTCTAGAGGGCTAGATTGTCAAAGTCCTATACTGCACCTGCAACAGATCACTCAACCATAGCAATTTTTTTTGGAAAACTAACCGTGGGAATTGTGGTATTCTATGGATAATGTGGTATAGGTAGACATATGGACACCTTAGGTGATCTTAGTTGTGGTAGGGCCACTAATACCAGGTTTTGCACTCATTATGGCCTTGAAGATCACACTATTGGGTATTGTAGATACACTCATGGAGCATGTCTTTGTTCTCATCATGGATTTGAAGGATACATATTTAAGAAGCCAAGTTGCCAACTTGGTTTTTCTTCATGACAACACACCATCACCTTAACCTTTTACTACATGTATATAGCCTAAGAGGAAGATGTTGAGAATTACCCAGGAAGAGTATTCTAGGCTTATATATGCTTCACAAACTTCTACTTTATTTACTCAATTTAGTCCTATGTACCATTCTCAACATGTATCAATACGTAACCCTTACAAGTCTTATTCCTAATTTATCATTATTGTTGGTTTTGTATGTGTAGAGAGACTGGGATGAATGGGCCCTAGCCCATTAGTGTCTTATTTATTAGTTCTTTCTTGTTATTTATTCTTAATGGGCCATTAATTCTTGTTTATGTTTTCTAAGTATGCTGATGAGGTGGACGCCCACTTAAGGGTAGACTTGTAAATTATGTAACTCAGGTAAGATTAATAAAAGATTAGAGTGGGGGAAAAGGAGAGGTTATCGAAATCCTCCTCCTTTTTCGTTTCTTCTCCATTCTTATTTCTTCTTATTGCTATCTTCTTCTTTTTCTCTACTTCTTTTGCTATAATCTGAATTATTCTAATATTTTTTATTGGTCTGAATCACATCTTGGTATCGGAGCAAGTCTTCCTTCGCTCTTATTCTTTTTTTCTTTTCTTTTCCCATACACTTTTTCTAATCGAAAGGTGTATGGAGAGATAAATTGCTGATCATTCAAAGAACTTGTTTTCCTAGTTGGTAGAGGGTTTGGAGAGTCAGAATCTGGCTGTAGATTGCCAAGAAAGTGGGGCTGCAGTTTTTTTACCCAAAACCCTAGCCAACTAGAGAGTTTCCAGTTATGGGTTAAAGAGACTGTTTGGGTGTGGCGCTCAAGGCTTGGAGGGTTCCTTTTTATCTCCAAAAGTGGGCGGTTGCAATTGGAAGTGGTGGATGCCCACTTAAGGGCAGTTGGAAGTGGTTTGGATAGTTCTGATTTTTAAGTACTGGACTGACCTCAGTTAGGTCTATAAAGGTTGAAAACATTGTTTTTTTATTTTTGTTTGATTGATGGAGCAATCTGGAAGTGAGATGAAGCGAATCCCGATGTTAGGGGTTGGCCCCGTAAATTCCATTTTGACAAGGGTGACTACAATTAAACTTGACAGAACAAATTACTTAGCTTGGGCACAATCTATAAAGATTCGTGTCTGTAGTAAAGGTAAACTAGGGTTTCTCATGAGTAGTAAGGTGAAACCGGAACAGACTGATCCTACATATGAGAAATGGATGCAAGATAACTACACAATTATTGGGTGGTTGGTAAATTCTATCCAGCCCCACATGAGTCAACACTATCTTTGGATGACTTCAGCCAAGGAGATTTGGGATAGTGCTATAGAAATATACTCTCAGAAATTGAATGTTCCAAGGGCCTACAAACTGACGAATGATGTGAAAAATTTGAAATAAGGGGAGAAGAGTGTAGCTGTCTACTACTCGATGTTGAAGTCACTATGGTAAGAAATTGATGTTATGGAAGTAGTTGTATGGGAAAGCAACAAGGATGTAGAAACTTTTAGGAAATTTGTGGAAAGAAACAAGGTGTTTGAATTCCTTACAGGACTTAATCCTGAATTTAATATTATGAGGCAAAATATTCTGGTCAAGGATGAAGTAACACTTGCTCTGGCATACTCTATGGTGAGTAGTGAAGAGAGCAAGCGACAGGTACAGCTACAGGCTCCACCACCTTCAAAACATTTTGCACATGTTGGAATAAAACCAAAGGGGGCAAATGAGAAGAAAGAGGTGATGTGTGAATATTGCAAGAAATCAAAACATACTAAGAATACTTGTTGGAAACTTCATCCAGATCTTCTTCTAGAGAAGTTTCGAAACAACAACAACTTTAAGAAAGCTGGTCAGTCTGGAAAGCCTAAGAATGCAAATGTTGCTACAACACCTGAAGGTGAAGAAAAATCTGTTGCGGAGTAGCTGGCAGTAGTGAAGGTAGAGTTTGAGAGATATGGGAGGTTGATTAATCACTTGGAGACTACTATTGCAGCTTCCTCCTTAGGCAACCCCTCTTCGTCCACTTTTTCCCATTCAGGTATTCGTGCTTCTGCAAATCATGCTACAGCCTCAAGTAATTATAGAATTCCTTGGATTATAGATTATGGTGCATCAGACCATATGACTAGCATCCCTAACCTTTTTTGTTCATACCAGCTCCTCTCTGGCAGAGAGAAGATTTCTCTTACTGATGGGTCTCTTGCCCCCATCTCTGGTAAGGGGGATATTAGAGCCTCTAACTCCCTTGTTTTATTCTCTATCCTTCATGTTCCTAAACTTAGCACTAACCTTTTATCCGTCAGTAGCTTAACAAAATCAATGAATTGTAGCATAACCTTCTTTCCTACTTATTGTGTTTTTCAGGACTTGAAATCTTAGAGGACGATTGGGAGTGGCCATGAGGCGAATGGGATATATTTGCTGGATGTCTCTAATCAAAGTCCTGGATCACCTAGTGGAGTAGCCTCGGAGTCTATTTCATCAAAGTCAGTTGATAGAGTCATGATATGTCATTTGAGATTTGGTCATTTGTCTTTTTCAGCTTTGAGTCATTTGTTTCCAGAAACGTTCAAGGGAATATCCCTATTGAGTCTTCATTGTGAGTCATGTGAACTTGCAAAAAATTGTAGACAATCTTTTCGGTGAGTAATAAAAGATCAGTTTCTCCTTTCTATATTGTGCACTCTGATGTGTGGGGGCCATATCATTTATCTGCTATGGGGGGATACAAATATTTCGTCCTTTTCATTGATGATTTCTCTCGTTACACCTGGATTGACCTTACGAAGTCCTGGGATGAAGTGCCAAATATTGTACGAAAATTTCATGAACTTATTCTTACCCAGTTTAACACTTGGATGAAAATATTCCGATCTAATAATGCAAAGGAATATTTTGAGAAGAGCCTTTCCTCCTACTTTGATACCTTTGGGGTTATTCATCAGAGCTCTTGTTCCTACACTCCACAACAAAATGGAGTGGCAGAAAGGAAGAACCGATAGGTGGTTGAGGTTGCGAGGAGCCTCATTTTTTCTTCTCATGTTCCTATTAAGTTTTGGGGGGATGCTGTCCTTATAGCTACATACTTGATAAACCGGATGCCTTCCCAGGTTCTAGGGTTTAAAACTTCCTTTAGCCTCCTATTTCCAAATGAGGATCTCTTCTCTCTTCCTCTCCGAGTGTTTGGGTGCACTTGTTATGTTCATGTTCACAGTCATTAAAGACATAAGTTTGAGCCTAAAGCACACAAGTGTGTCTTCTTGGGATATGCCTACATACAAAAGGGGTAATGCTGTTTTGATCTGGTCCATGGCACTCGCTTTCTTTCCAGAGATGTTACATTTATGAAGTCTGTTCCTTTCTTTAGTACTTCTCCCAAGGGCCAGCATTCAAAGGAGTTGTTTGTGTTGTCACCATCTATTCCTCTTCCAATTCCCATTGAATCTTCTATTGAGTCTTCTCCAATCGAGTCCTCTATTGGCTCTTCTTCTCATGTTCCTGCTCCCCCTGCTCCTGCTCATCCTCCCACATTTTCTTCCCAATTCCCATCCTATTATCCAAAGGTGGTACCAGAGACAAAGACTCAGAGACATGCAAGTTGTTTCCACACCTTCAGATGAGCCTCTTGCACCTCCCATCACTACTAAGGTAACAGGTCAGCCCTCTTCTACCACTTTGGATACCTTCCCTGACCTTGATCTCCCTATTGCTCTTTGCAAAGGCAAATGGAAATGTATAACTCATTGCATTTCCAAACACCTATCCTATAACTTTCCTTCCCCTTCCTACTCTTCCTTCCTTGCCTTTGTTTCCACACATGTGACTCCTAGATCTATTCCAGAAGCCTTGTCCAAACCAAAATGGAGGGATGCTATGATGACTGAATTAGATAGGTAGCAACAGGAGTACCAATACAATCCTCATTACCTACTGAGATAGGTAAATTATCATCAACATGCAAAACACTTCTAGCCTCGACATTTC